TGAGGTGGCCAATTCTGATCCCCCACACCACATATCCATGTGAGAGGATGCTTTTCAACTCATGCATTCTAGAGCAGGAAGTGCAACAACTAAAGCCCTCTTCAAAAAGGTACAATTTTGGGGTTAATTTTTTTTAATATGTAGGTTAAGTCTCCCACTGTATTATACAACCATCTTCCCATCTATTTGCCAGTTTGGTTTATCAATAGGTAAATTTCCAGCCTGATTTATTTAAAGAGAGGATATGTCTGCTTTTTGGTTCTTAAGCTGCTAGGAATAGGGCTGCACCTTATTTTAGATGAAGTTGGTTTAGTGTGGACTTTCCTCTAAATAAATAGTTGTAGATAAGACTCTAAACATATTGGAAATGTCAACATAAGCCTTGGGGGACATCAATGTGCCAAAAAAAAAAATCTAGACACATACTTTGCACCTTTCACAAGAATGAACTCTAAATGGATCACAGACCTAAACGTAAAATGCAAATCTATACAACTCCTAGAAGACAACATAGGAGAAAATCTAAATGACCTTGGGTTGGCAATGACGTTTTAAAAACAACACCAAAAGCAGAATCCATGAGAGAAAAAAGTCAATAAATTGGGCTTTGTTAAGATTAAAAATTGCTCTATGAAAGACACTGTTCAGATAATGAAATGACAAGCCACAGACTGGGAGAAAATATTTGTAAAAAAATGTGATAAAAGATTGTTATCTTAAATATATAAAGAATTCTTAAAGCTCAACAATGAGTAAACAAAGAACCTAATTAAAAAATGGGCAAAAGATCTGAACAGACACCTCACCAAAGAGGATGTACAGATAGCAAATAAAGCTATGAAATGATGCTCAGTATCATGCGTCATTAGGGAATTGCAAATTAAGACAACAATGATATACCACTACACATCTATTAGAATGGCTAAAATCCAAAATATTGAATATATCAAATGCTGGTTGAGGATGTGGAGCAACAGGAACTCTTATTCATTGATGGTGGCAACGGAAAATGGTACAGCCATGTTGGAAGAAAGTTTGGCAGTTTCTTACAAAATTAAACATACTTTTACCATACAATGTAGAAATTGTGCTCCTCGGTATTTACCCAAATGAGTTGAAAACTTGTGTCCACACAAAACCTGGCACGTGAATGTTTATCTAGCTTTAGTCATAATTGCCAAAACTTGGAAGAAACCAAGATGTCCTTAAATAGGTGAATGGATAAAGAAACTGTAGTACATCCAGACAATGATATATTATTCAGTGATAAACAGAAATGAGCCATCAAGACACAAAAAAAATGGACGAACTGGAAGTGCATATCGTTATGTAAAAGACACCAATCTGAAAAGGTTATATACTATACCGATCCAACTATATGACCTGCTGGAAAAGGCAAAATTATGGAGACAGTGAAAAGATCAGTGGTTGCTGGGGATTCTTGAAGAAAAGGAGAGGAATGAATAGGAGGAGCCCAGTGGAATTTTAGGGCAGTGTAACTATTCTGTATGATACTGTAATGATGGACACGTCATTATACATTTGTCAAAACCCATAGCATGTACAACTCAAAGAGTGAAACGGAATGTAAACTACACATTTTAGCTAATAAAGTATCAATATTGGCTCATCAATTGTAACAGATGTGCCACATTAATGCAAGATGTTATAAGGGAAAACTGGGTGTGGGAGAGTTTGGGGGGATATGGGAACCACCTGTACTCCCCACACATTTTTCTGTAGACCTAAAACCACTAAAATAAATAAAGTCTATTATTAAAAAAAAAAAAAGAAAGAAAGCCTTGAGATAAATGGTAGGCAATAATTTCAAAAGATAAGGTGTCCCTCCCTGCCTTTCATGACCTGCCTTCTGCCTACACTCCTGCCTCATTGCCTCATCTCCTGCCTTCCCCACATGTATCTTATACCACAGTCACTGCTGCTCTGGGCTGGAAGGAGTGCTCCTGAGTACACACGTGTGCACGTGTCTGTGCATGTGCAAGACCCTTGCAATAATCACATTTATTGAGAGTCACAATTCCATGTCTGTGCGTGGCTTTGGGCAATACATCCTGTGTCTTAGTTTCCACTCTTTTGTTTCTTTTTCTCTTGGGTCAGATGGATTAAGCTTCAGTTTCCTTGGTAACCAACTTTGGTTTTTTATCTCAACCTCTGGTCACAGAAAGAGAGCAAGATGGAGAGATGTGCTTTCCCATCTGTCCTGGCCCTTCCAGCTGGGCTGTTGCCTGAGCTGAGTGACCCAGTGACGATGAGTAGAAGAATGTTGCCAAGACAACAGAATCCCACACCCCTTTCCAGTGCTGAGGCCCATCTCCCTCCCCCTGCCTGCCTGCTTGGATCTCACCTGAGAATGGGAATGTGCTTTGGCCAAGGGTGAAGGGATAGATGTATGATAGAGGATACAAGGAGAGAGGTGAAATCTTGGGATTCTCTCAGAAGGGACTGCGGGAGGGACCAGAGTCACAAAGAAAGCATTCTTCACAGCACTGAGATCCCAGATGTTGAAGACTATGAAAGCATAGTGGCTCTAACATGTGGTCCTGTGATTTTCTCCAGCAGTACACAGTGCTACAAACATTTTCTGAAGCCAGGCTCCCTGGCTCAGGCCCTGGAAAAAGAGGCCTGTGTTGTTAAAGGAGAAAGGAGCCTGGCATCACTCGTGGGGGGCAACGACGGCCTTGAGGATGACCTGCTCACCTCAGTGACCACTTTCATCAGTTACTCTACTCTGTGTGTCTGTCTGTCTGGTCCACTCTTCCTTCTGTGCTCTGTTTTGGTGGTCCGTTTATGGGATGTGGAAAGTTGTCCTAGGTTAAAGGAGAGGACAAGGCAAGGATGCCACAATCTCCTCTAACACGGACTGGTGAGACTGTGGGCAGAGGAGGAGCCGGTGGGGATGGTGTGCTGAGATCACAGATTCACTCGTGTTTGTCGGACTGCACGAGCACTTTGGTTAACTTATTCTCTCTAGCTGATTTGATCTTCATCATGTGTGCTCGCTCTCTGGACTGGATAGTAAGGGGTGAAAAAAAAACCACTATATTTGTGTCTAATCTGGTAAGTGTAATCTGATACTAACATGTGAATGGTTCATTTAAAGAAATGCTCAGTCTCTCAGATTTCCACCCCACTTCCCTGCTCTTTTCCAAGTTGAGATAGGAGTATGTACAGTTTACAAGTTTTTTGGGTGATGTGGGAAGCAGGAGAGGGAGCAGGAATCTATGAAATTCTTATGTTGCTCACAGTGCCCTCAGTGGTCTCTGAGATGACCCTTGCATACCAGGACCAGCTGGTGAAGCTGACCTGTACCATCCATGTGTGTGGCTGATGAAACTTGCATTTTTGTCTCTCTCCTCTTGGTCAGGGACCTGGTGCTCCCTGGCTGACTCAGCCTCAGCTCACCTCTGCCAGCATCTGTAGACTCCTTTGAATCTGGGTCTCATCCTCCATCCTGTCCCTGGGCAGGGCTGTCCACTCCACAGCCTCAGCTGCACGGTCATCTGAGCCCCTAGCCAGGTTAGGCTTCCTTCATGGTAGGACTCCTGGCTCTGGACTCAGCCAATTTCTACATTCCCCCTTCAGGGAATGAAGCCTCCTGGGGTCTCACTTACACCATAGCAGGAACCAAGATCAGCTCCAGAAAGCTAAATTCTTAAACTCCAGCCATCCTTCTGCCCAGTTTGTAGATGATGGAATGATCCAGAAGAAATAGGGAATGTGACAATTCGGGAAAAAGGAATGGTCGTTGCAAAAGCCTATTCTTTGAGAAGGAGGAAGGATATGGCATCCAGGTGAAGGTCCTGGCCTCAATGGGATCAGGTCACTTCCTCCAGAGGAGCAGCAGAGAATACAAGTGCAGATCCAGTGTGGCTGGGAAGTGATGAGAGTTGCTAATGTGATCTCTTCTCTTTTCTCAATGAATGATGAGTGACTATCACATGGGAAGAGTGGCTGCTGGTGCTCTCCCGAAGGCTATTTTGGGTAGAGGAGAGAGGAGATACAGGTGTGGAGGGTGCAAAGAGTTTGTCCATTTGGTGGTATTGCCAGCAGAGCAGGGAGGAAGGAGCAAAAGAGTTGTGTTTGAGGGGGAGAGTTTATAGCCCTGGGCCAGCTGGGTAAGGAGGGGCCTGGTGGACGGTGAGGAAGGCCGTGGGGTCGATGGACTGGAGGTTTCCAAGAGGCTGAAGGCTGTCGGTGGAGAGGCATTAGAGCGAAGGAGCTGGACGACCAGGGCATGGCGTTGAGGTGATAAGAGAGGGGAGTGTTAGAAACGGACATCGTGGAGGGGCGAGGTCTTTCCTGATGCCCAGGGCATGACCGTGGGCTGGGGGATGCTCGGGTGGGGAGGAGACGAACACCCCCGAGGACAGAGAGGCTCCGGGTTGACCGGGTCAGCCTCGTGGGCCCCGAGGTCGCCGGCAGGGATCAGAGGGGTGAGGGCTGAGAAGAGGACAGGGAGTGTGCCACGGGACGAGCGTGTTCCCAGGCCGGGGGTGGGCGGGAGGAGGATGGCAGGGGATTGGTACAGGTCCCGCACGTGGGGCGGTGGGGGCGGCTGGGGCAGTCGGGCGACAGGCCCTGGACATCACCCGTCCGGTCGCTCAGCCCACAGTTCGCGACTGGGTCCCGGAGGAAACCTCCAGCGGCCACGGGCAGGGAGACTGGCCGCGATCTCACCGGGCGCCCGCGCGCAGGCCCGGAACCCGCCAATCGGAGCGCAGCCCCGCCCCCTCCCCCCGGTCGCGTCCTTCCCGTGCACAGGGACTTCCTGCCGCTGTTGCTATGGTTCCGAGGGCGGGACTAAGGAAGGCGACAGTGCCGGGGAAAGCTTATCAGGGCCAGTTTGACCTGTATCCGTACATCTCTGGTCCTCATCGTCATCCCGCTTGTCTTCTTCGGCCAGTATCGCCAAGGCCACTTCGGCCGGTACTAGTGTGTTCTCTGGTCCTAAATATGAATGTCGGAGCCCTATTACCGACATGTTATTGGAATTAGGAACAGAATCATTCGACAGTAAGCGGTATGTATGAATGAAGTCTGATCTGAGAGCAACGGCTTTTCTCTTCCCAAGTCCAGCTTATACTTCTGAAGTTTCTTTGGCATGTTCATATATCTGAAAAAAATTGCACATATTTCCTACAAAAAAAGTTTCCTTTTCACAGCATTGTGTATAATTTATCTGACTTTTTTCTTCCTGTAGGGTCTTGTGGAAGGCCTTGGGCCAGGGCTCAAGAGAACTTCTCTTCCAGTTCCAGCTCTGCCAGCCCTACTTATTTTGCTCTCTGAGTCACTTTGCTTCTCTGGGCCTGCTATGTCCTCAATTTTAAGAAGAAGAGTCAAGCTAAGTTAGTGGGTGGCACAGGGAGGGGGATCTAGGGAGGGGGTGTGGTTAAAAAGCCTGTGTTCTCAGTGCAGCAACTCCTCTTTTTTCTCTCATTTATTGCATTTTTTTTTTTGGTAAGAAATGCGTTTCTTTTACTTTAACAAAGAATGTGAAATCACTGGTGTATGGGATCAGTGCTCAGTCTCCTAGAGATGAGAGGAAGATTGAAGAGAAATGAAATTATAAAAACGAGTAGACTCAGCCATCCTTAGGAGTACCATAAATTTAAAAGTACACTCTAAGTAGATGGCTTGGCAGAATGTCTGTTCAATTATAGGGTGTCTGCAAGAATTGTAATTTCAAGTGCTGCAATCTGTTTACTTACGGAGAGGGGACTTGACGCTGAAGATGTAATCTTACCAACCATTAAAAAACCATTTTAGAGAGGCAATATTTCAAGTTAGTAATCAGTCACAATCTCATGATGACAATCTAGTGAAGTAACTGTTATGTCATAATAGTACCTGCTATAGCAACAGTAATTGGCTAACAACTCACATGGAAAGTCTCTCCAGTGTTTGTTCCTACACCACTTTCATAAGAACATTAACAGTAAATAGACACTGGCAGCCACTCTTGTTTTAAGTGTTATCATATGGAAGAGGATAAAATCACTTAACCTGGAATTGTAATTTCAGGGAATGAAGACAATGAACCTAACTAGGTAGATTTTGAAAACGTAGCTGTTAAATTCTTCCCGTTCTTATTTTATTCCCGAGTCATTTAAAATTATGAAAATAATGTTTAGAAATGAAATTTACAGCTTGACTTTTCTTAAGAGTTCCTGTTTTATATTTTTTCCTTTTTGTGCCTGGTGATGTATGCTTCTGACTTTAAATCATTGAGGTAGCAGATGGCGACTTGTATTTTCTCAGACAAGATCTCAAATACATATGTTGCCACTGGCTTGTAGTTTGTGTTCAAAAGATCAATTGTTGGATGATATTTCCTCCTCTCTCTTGCAATTTATTTTCAGGAAAAGAGGAAGGAATGGCAATGAAGAGGACAACCACCATTCTCCCCAGTCCAAAAAGAGTAAGAGAAACCCTGTCTTTCAGGATTCTCAGGATGCAGAGGTAGGAACTACGGTCAGATAGCCTCTCTCTATTTCATCCATTGCCTAAGTTAAATTATCCAATTTGTGCCCTGTAATGAAAAGAAATGTATTATTCCAAGAAACCTTCATAAAAGTATTCCTATTTGATTGCAGTGGCTTTTGAGCTGGAGTGCTTAGCTGTGGTATATAGTATCTCACAGAAGGTGGAAACGAAACACAGAAAAGACTTGGCTCAAACATAATCAGGAAGATCTAGGTCTTAGACTTTTTTCCAGTCATAAGAGCAGGGAATAAGAATCTTACTCCCCTTATTTTTAGATAGAAAGTAAATTTTCAAGTACATAATGATAGATTAATGGCAAGAAGGAGATTCTTGATTTCTAGCTGGAAAAAGTGAAAATGAAATTAAGGATGGGGGAGTCAGGTGATTTTGCAAAGCTTTAATGGTACTTGCATTGAAGAGCTTGAATTTTAAAGACTTGTGGTCATTAGCATAGTATTGTTTTAATTGAGCTATAATTTACTAGAAGAATATTAAAGGAACCTTGTTAAGTCTTTCTGGGTGAATCCTGTTAGTTAATGACTAAGTACTGCTCACTTGTCCCTTTTGTGAGCAAGAAGTGAAATGATTATCAATCCCTGCCTGCCTCCTGGGACCTGTACACAGGTGGTGATAGTCTAAGATCCTGTGCAGCTACTGAGTTGGGTAAATTTTAGCTAGATTTAACTCATGCAACTTGCTCTCTTAGATGCTGGCCATTTTTCATTGAATATCTTTGCATATATAGGAGTATTGCTCTTTTCATTCAACCTTACATCTTTACAAATTACACCACCACTTTTCCTGTAAATCTGTCCCCTCGTATGCGTGTATAAGCCTTATAGAAAGTGCAAACACAAAGACACTAATGTTTCTGTACAAGTTGGTCTTACTTGCCGAGACCATTCATTTTTATTTTTCAGATTACCAAGTAGTAGCAAGAAACCCAGAGTGAAAAACTGTGTAGATATAAACATAAGTGGCTTACCTGAAAGAGATCTTTGCCTTTTTCTTTTCCCTACTGGAATTGGGAAAGATTTGATATCCTAATGCTGGAATTCCAAGGGAGCAGCAGGAGCAAGACAAATGAGAGAAAAACAGAACCAAGGGCCCCACATATGTTTAAAATTAGAATTCTATCAAGTCTCCCCTCCCACCCCCCGCTTTTTGAAAAAAGCTGGTAGGAGCTGTCTCTTTGTCAGGTCATTGTTTAAAGTAGTGTCAATTCGTATGACAACATTTGGCGTAATTTTTGAAAAATGCTTTCTCTTAGGTTCTTTGTAGATTTGGGTCATTCTCATCACCTTTGATCATATACATTCTAGGACACAGAACTGCATTGGGAGACCTTATTTTGGGTGAAACTGTTGTTGAACAAAATAATGGTTTTTAGTCCTGTTTTCAAACAGGACTGGAAATGGAAATGGAAACTTCTGAAATTAACCTGTACTTAAAAGATACATTCAAAATGGAGGGACGACCCTTTCCAAATATGGCCTTATCTGTTACATGCATTTTAAGAAACTTTGCTCATGGAGTATACCAGGCAATCCCAAGCAGCTTTATATTGCAATGGAATGTTAAAATCTCAGGTGTTTTAAGGAATTGAAGATACACACGCACACATGTTTTTCTACAGGTGATGATTACTTGTCAATCTTTTTGTTTGTTTGTTTTGTCCAAATCCCATTTACTGGGTTGAAACAAGGTGAAGTTATATAGTTATACAGATTCTATTATAAATATAATTTTTGAGCTGGAAAAGAACTTAGAACTCAATGTCTAGTCCAACTTCATCTTGTGAAGGAAACTGAGCTACAGAAAGCTCAGATTATCTATCCCATTGACACAGAGAAGTTAACACATGAATACCATTGCCTTGCTAATTTGCAAAGTGGTTGTAATTCAGCAGGCAGATTGATTTGGTATCTTATGGTTCTTAAGATTCCACAGTGTTTCATTGGTATTATCTAACATGGGCCTTTTGTTTTAAATAGGTTGGAACCTTGGGAGCACATACTTTAAGTGCTTGGATGGACTTGGTTAGGGTCATCTGTTTTTCTTAATTTAGTTTCTGTAGCTGCTTTAGAATAAACATCATATTATGATACCAGAAATGGAATATGTACTAGTGGTGAGAAAAAATTATTTTTGTTGAGGTTCATATAAATGAAAAGCTCTGAGGCATGGAGGGATGGAGTTGAGAGGGAACCTAGGGCTTAAAAGAAAATAAAATACTGGCTTAATCTGCTTTTACAATTAAGAAGAATTACATAATTCTCTATTGTGAATATACACATGCATTCCCATTCTGTTTTGATGAAGATACTCTGTAATTAATATTCCTTCTCATGTCTTCAGATTCTATTTATCCACTGGTTCTTTTGTTAGCCCGCTAAGGTGCTATTTCCCATTCTTAAGTAGTTTTGTGTTATCTTATTTATTTTTTATTTTTTTATTTTTTGGTGAGGAAGATTGGCCCTGAGCTAGCACCTGTTGCCAATCTTCCTCTTTTTGCTTGAGGAAGACCAGCCCTGAGCTAACATCTGTGCCCATCTTCCTCTATTTTGTATGTGGGACACCACCACACCATGGCTTGATGAGCAGTGTAGGTCCACGCCCATGATCCAAACCTGCGAACCCTGAGCTGCCGTAGCGGAGTGCGCCAAACTTAACCACCATGCCACCAGGCTGGCCCCCAATGTGTCTACTTTATTTTTCTCTCAAGTTAATGAATCTTTTCTCTCTCCTTTGCCTCCCAGCTGTAATATGCTTTCACTGCCTGTTACTTCTCATCCCCTTCATGCAACTACTCACTAAAACTTGGCTCCCCAAACCCCACCTACTCTTCTCCTAAAAGATATGTCAGGGATCGCCTAAGATCTTGCTACATTTATTCAGAAAATATTTACCAAACACCTACCACTTGCCAAGCATTGTCCTGGGTGCTTGGGGTCAACTTAGATGTCTCTATCATTTCCTCAATGACTCCTTCTATCCTACCTATGATGTGTATCAAATATATCCCTTCCTTTACATTTCCACCATCCTAATTCAGGCCTATGTTGCCTCTTGCTGTATGCATTGCAAAATTTCCTAGGTGGTTTCTGTGCTCTCATTATCCTCCTACTCCACTCATCCATTAGAATCATCTTCCTAAACGTAGATCTGTGCATGTCTCTTATGCTCAAGTACCTGTCCCCATTGGCTTCTCAGCATGACATTCAAGGTCCTTGATAACCTATCCCTGTCTTCTCTTATATATTTTGTTTCCCACCAACTCATCTCCCGGAGCCCCCAGCCATATCATATTACTAGCTTTGTCTCCTTGAAAACTCCTCTTCACCCTGCTTGTGCTCTTGTTGTTCCTTCCATTTGTCACACTCCTCCTATTAATATTCTCTCCATCCTCCAAGGCCCAGTTCAGATGCCATTCATTTTAAGGAGCCTGCCCTCTTTCCCCAGTCAGCATTCATTGCTACTTTCCTGTCATTGTAGTAGCTTGACCCTGTCATTCTCAAAGAATTCTTGACTGGGCTCAGGAATTACCTGTTGGTTGAGTCCCTGAGTATCCCTTGCAAAGCACCTGCTTGTACATAGTAGGCACATGAGCATTTGTTTGGATAGTGGTTGAGCATCAGAATAACCTGTGCCTTCCTGAGACAGCCTGTCAAAGATGCGGCCCTGGCACGTGCACGTGAATCAAACTAACAAAAAGTCCCCCAGGCGGTTCTGATGCCTCTCCCCGAATAGAGTGTGCTATGGAAAATCTCTGCTGGACTCAATTGAAGCTTCTTTGGTTATGGAGTAAACAGGCAGATTTCATTATGGCCTAAACTAATCTAAAATCCTCCTTTTCACATAGACCTGAACCCCAGGACTTTTGTATGGTGCTTTTGTGAATATTATTTAGTGGGAGATCTTTGGTCAGAGTCTTCATGAGCGTAATTTTATTTTGCTGTGTACATGAATTTACAAGGGCTTCAGTTTTACAGAGCACAGGCCTGTTCTCATTTGCCTTGCACAGATATCAGCACTAAGCTTATATTAAATATTCAGAGAAAAAAGAATGAGCTTTGTTAAACAGAATGAGCATTCTGATGAGAAGTTTCTTCGATGAATCAGGAGGGTGGTGAAAAGGATTTATATTTTATGGGTCTTTCTCGATCCTGAAGCATTTAAAATCTCATTTCTCTTCTGGTAAAAGAATTCACTTTCTTTCTAAAATCAAGTGTAGTAAGGAACACGCTTCTGTACTAAGATAGCCATTTCAAATGTCCAAACCATATAATATCAAGGAGAAAACTTTTTATCCCAAGCTTTCTGACAATAATAGAAGTCATTAAGCAGGATATCTCACATGAAGAACATTCAAAGGGTAAGGCGTGATAAAGCCCAGGGTTGTATAATATGGGCTACATTTGTTAGATAATCAGCATTATTGGTCTAGAAAATGCTAGTGGATATGAGTTTTAGATGTTCTTTAGTAATTTAAAGGAAATCTCATTTACAGCATCACAGTTCATTTTCAGTCCTTGTTTTGAAGTCAGAAGTAACTGAATCTGAAAGCAGATTTTCCTTGGTCTTATGGTAGCCTTCTCTAGGTTACTTACAAATAAACTAGTTGTTTCTCACAAAAGAAATACATTTGTTGTAGATGCTTTAGAAAGTGAAAAATAGACAACAAATAAAAGTGAAAATGATCTGAAGACTCAAATTTTATATATATATATATATATCATGTATGATATCAGATCAAACGATGTCAGGGACATCCTTCTATATCAGTATAAATCCGACTATATCATCATTGTTAATGGCTGACAATATTCATTGTATGAATGGATGCACCGTGACCGCTTCTCGGTTTTTGGACATTTAGTTGTTTCTGATTTTCAGCTGTTAACAACAATGCTGCTATTATGAACAGTGTTGCAATGGACATTTGTATTGATGCCTCTATACAATTGAGTTTAAAAACGTTTTAAATGCACTGGAAATTGGAGGCCAGCCTGTGGCACAGCGGTTAAGTGTGCGCGCTCCACTTTGGCTACCCTAGGATTCCCAGGTTCAGATCCTGGGCACGCACCGAGGCACTGCTTGTCAAGCCATGTTGTGGCAGTGTCGCATATAAAGTAGAGGAAGATGGGCACGGATGTTAGCCCGGGGCCAATCTTCCTCAGCAAAAAGGGGAGGATTGGCATCGGATGTTAGCTCAGGGCTGATCTTCCTCACAAAAAAAATGAACTAGAAATTGGAAGTAGATCTATTTTTTTTTGTAACAATTATTCTATAGAAATCTTTCCTAGCTTGTTGATTTTAATGTACATTTTCATAGCCTAGCGTCACACTAGTGTTACCCTGTAGTGTAAAATGGATATGTTGTCATTTGAGTTGAAATTTGATTCATCAGAAAACTAATTAATTATAGTTCTTGCCTTGTTTTTCAGACAGTACCTGTAAAAAAAGAAAACGATAAGGAAAGCCAGCTAAAAGGAACCAAAGTGTGTGCGGTAGGTTTCATATCCGATGTAATACCTACTTAATTTTGACTATTCATAACTTCACTACTTTTTGCCAGTGGAGGTTTTAGATTTTTACCCTTGGGCTAAGAAAATCCTATTTTTGGATATTTTTTTTAATTGGCCTTGACATTAAGTCCTTAAGTCAATTTGATTGCTATTGGTGATAACTTTCACAGCTGGTTTAATTTGGTGCATCCTAACTCTTTCTTGGATGGTTCTTTTAATGTATGTTTCTATTTGCATAAAGATAAATATGGGTTGTCTATTAGGACTTGTGGACAGTGTGGTGTGTGACCTATGTTGCGGGGCTCCAGATGACCTATGGACCATGACTATTCTTTTTTTAAGTCCTATTAATGTTACCTTTGGTAAAAATTGCCTTATAAGAAATGCAATACCAACATTGTTAAATGTTGTAGTTCCAGTGAGGATCCTTGCCATTACCTTCTCCTTTGAGAATCCTAACTTTGAAAGGGAGGAAATTCTTGACACTGACTGTTTTCAGAAATCTCTAGTAGTTTCTCCAATATGACAATGACCCTGAGTTGTGTTAGTGCAATTAAAAAAACTTAGGTGCAAACACAAACACACACACACACACACACACACACACCATAACAAATCCATATTTGTGGAACAGCAGTAAATACTAGTCTCTAAAATGCCAATAATTAACATATAACTTTTATAAAAAAGTATATTAAATGCCTTTCAGGACATGTGTGAGCCCTGCATTGATATAGGAGGACCATGTATGCCCACTATCAGGGGATATGTATGAGATCATCACACGTTTGTATATATGTGTGCATGTATGTATGTATGCATAAATGTACATATGTAACAATTTATTTGTTTTATATAACTTGTGCCCAGAATCCATCTTATTCTTTATGGGCATATTTTTTACTACATTCTGTAGCATTAATTGATGTTTTCCCTCGGAGGATGAAAACTTACTTTTCTGATGCACATTTTTGGAATAAATGCTACAAGCAGGGACAAAGGATTTGTGAAGGGATTTGAGATTAGAAGGTCTGTGTTTGAATCCTCACTCTGCCACTTCCTAGCTATATGACATTGGGCAAGTCAGTGATCTCAGTTTTCTCATCTGTAAAATGGTGGATATTAATCCTAACTTAATTTACAGGGTCATTGTGTTGTTTGTAAGGATAGAATGAACTATTTTAAGTGGCTGTAGTTTGTAAACCATTAGTGCCCAGTATAGTGTTTGGTGCTGCTATTCTCCAAGATGAACGGGAAAAATAGTGTAATAGCATAATACTCATTCTGTTTCTGTTTTTATCCTTCCAGTCTTCAAGCAGTGATAATGAGAGGAGCAGCAGCATTAATAGCCCAGAGAGAGTAATTGGACCAGAAAGCAGCTTAAACCAGATCATTGCTGAACCCAACACGAGTACCCCTCAGTCCTTATATGAGGAGTATGCACTAAACCAAGGTGCTTACTCCCACATCAACCGGATCTTGAAAGAGGCACACTTCAACAGCCTACAGCAGTGAGGACAGTCTTCAACATGATGAACTAGGAGCTCCTTATTCCAATCTAAAATTTGTTTATAAAAGCAATTGCACACAAAAAAGAGGCTGTTGGCTTTTCAGTCTGTATGTTAAATAACAGGTTGATCGACAGTTGTTTACTTGGGGTTTTGTTGCACTGTTGCTATTTCAAAGGGGGCTTCGAAGCAATTTTTATAGAACTCTTTTCAGGTTGGATGTCAAATCCATGTCAAAGTAGCAATATGAGGAAACCTCACCTGCAGGTTGAATCCATAGACTGTCCAATTCAGATTGGTTTCCAGATCTGTCTGTTAGAAATTCTACTTTATGTCAAACATCCTTTTAAAATGCAAGGTCTTCATTTTTAAAAATTTAATAGGCTAGTAAAAAGTATGTAGTTTTTATGAAAAAACAAAAACAAACATAAGTTAGTATTCCAAAGTATAGAAAGCTTGATTTAATCTTGCACTGAAATGAACTGCCTTACTGCCTCTCAGAAGGTAGATGTCTTATTGAAATTATTCTCAACTTGTAAGGGGGACAATTAGACCCAATTTAGACTGTGTAAGTGAAATCTTCTCTCTAATAACTGTCTCCACTCTTTGTATTTCTGGGAAGAATATTTCTTAAGGCTCTTGTATACTCAGATAACTTCTGTAACATTAATCCTCCAGAACATGCATGTCAGACTTAGTGGAAAACATTGCACAATTCTATCAGATAAGTACGTAATAACTTTCTGTCTTGAACACAAACTTGTTATATTAGTAGTTTATGTGACATCATTTACATTCTACCTATTGTGTCTAGATTTAGTGCTGATAAAGTGTAAGCTACCTGAACTGATGTCTGAAGTAACAAGAATTGTGAAACCGGTTTGGACAGCCCTCCACTTCATGCTTCTAGGACCGCTTCACAGAGACTATGGGGCCAGCTTTTGTCATTGAAACCGCAAAGATTGGTGTGGCTTAGAAACGATGGCGGAAGCACCATTGGAAGAAATAGGTGGTGGTGTTTATTTAGAGAGAGAGGGATACGTTCCCATGTTTTTTGGTCATACTAATGAGCCAACCAAATTTGAATAGTGATTTCATAGATTCTCCTACTTCTTCAGTGATGAGCTATGTGAACAAGGAACCAGAACATATCTAATTATCTGCCTTGCAGAGTGCCAGAGGTACAAACTGCTATTATATTTAAAGGAAAGTGCCCTAGAGTCCAATAGGAATCTCCTACCTGTTCACAGCATTCTCTTTTCACTATACTTGGAAATCCACACAGCAGAAACTGGCATATATGGAAATTACAGACAGCTCTAGAAAGAGGTCTTTGCCCTTTGTCAAGATTTGGAAAAGACATGAAATAACAGATTGACTAAAAGAAAAATAAGATTTTATAAAGTCACAGAACTAACATTTAAAAATGAAAACTGGGGCCGGCCCTGTGGTGTCACGGTTAAGTGCGCGCGCTCTGCTGCTGGCGGCCCGGGTTTGGATCCTGGGTGCGCACTGACGCACCACTTGTCAGGCCATGCTGTGGCAGTGTCCCACATAAAGTGGAGGAAGATGGGTACAGATGTTAGCTCAGGGCCAGTCTTCCTCAGCAAAAAAAGAGGAAGATTGGCATGGATGTTAGCCCAGGGCTGATCTTCCTCACAAAAATAAAAAAAAATGAAAACTATCCTAGGAAAAGGAGAAAATACACACACACACATGCCCCTCATTTCCATGGTTGTTTCCTTTATTATGGATAGGATTTTAAGGTCAGACAGTTTTAGTGGAATTTTAGTGTTATGAGGGGAAAGTTACAGCACCATTGAGCCCAAACTTATGGAGTAGGCATGGGTCAATTTTTTTCTCAATTGTGGAGTTTGTGTAAGAATATTTTTTTCTATGACTACTGTCCCCAAAGTTGGAAAAACAGGTGTTTGACAAGAAGATGGATTTTTTGGTTGCCGTTTTCTCTCTAACAATAAAGCAAACAACCAAATATTGTAGAAGGCAACCTGTTTGAATTCTCAAACCACAGGTACACACACATTCAGAAATACCCAGGAAGAATTCTGCAGGCTTAAATACATGGCATCATATGGAAACAGAGCATATATTAAAAATGCAGTGTTACTGAAAACCTGAGAAAGCAAATTTCGTTTCATTCTTCACCCATTTAATGATATGAGAGATGAAGCTATCACCCTGACAAAACGTTATTTCAAAGTAAGTATAATCTTGGTCCAAGGATGCCAGTGTAAATCTCTTATCATAGTAAATGCAATATGTAATTTCTGCCCTGTCTTCTACAGATTGTCTAAACCTTGGCAGCCTAAAATATATTTCCATTATAAGGCTACTTGATAGTGTCAGAGAACGAACACCTTTCAAAACACCAGTTATCTGAGGCTAGTAGGATCTTGTATTTATATTATATATGGCCCTGCCTTTAAATACAATATTAGTACATTTTGTCATTCAGTGCTCAATCAAATATTTAAAGGGGAGCTAACTGAGTCGTTTGGTGGGAGATGGGGGAAGATGAATAGGGGTAAACCTCTTGCTGTTTGCACTGACATGGGCTTTTTTGGGACACTTCTACTGATTGGCTTAGTCTTTTGAGTGCTTGTCATCTCAGTAGAAGTGAAAACTCCATGATAGGGTGAAGGAATATCAGTAGCATGGACAGGAAGTTTCAGAGCCTAGCCAAAGCGTCCTTTAATTCATTTACATGAACTGACTCCGTGTCAATGGTAGTACATTATGCAGCTTTTGGGAGTAAAATACACTGCTCCAGGAGGTGAACTGGTTCATTGATCAACAGTCACCAATCCAAACGGAACCTGAGAGAGAAGAAACAGAGCAAACTAGAATGCTCATCATATTATTGTCCAATTAACAGGGCTCACAGTTTTGAGGTTCACTAGACCGAGGACTCCTTCCATTTGGAAGTGCCTGCATTAGGACAACAGTGTAGAACATGAGGCTATAACAGCTGGAGTCCTATTTGCTTCACTGACTTTTCACTTCTTTGCTCTAGATTGTCAGAGCAAAGTTGAGGTAGTGCAGATCATTAAGTAGTTGCAGTGCCTTATTCTGCATAATTGGAAATGCACCTTCTTTCTGAACTTCATTTTCTGTCCCCACCAATTATGAGGGGTGTTCTGTTATATGGGTATAATAAACGTCTTCATGCTCTAGACAAGTTAGAGGTTAATGTTTCAGAAGCAATGGCTTCGTAGAATCATATGGCTAGTTTAACTGCTTAACAAAAGGTCAGTTTTTGTCCTTTGGTCTTAAAATGAAATTCAAAACTTAACAGGTGGGAAGGAACTCAGCCCTTCAAATCTAGGTATCTCTGCTCTAAAGGAGAAGAATTTTCAAAGAATATAAGAAGAAAGAAGAAGAAACTTCTCTGGATTTTATCCAAGATTAAGAGTTTGAAGAAGGGGAGCCAGGTTAACTCAAGAGATGAGATTAGACCCTGCCTTAGAAATGTCACTAAAGAAATGGGAATATAAAGCAAGAGTAGAATGCTTCATACAAGGTGAAGTGGGGATGGAGCTTGGGGAGAGAGAAATGAGAACCCACTATGTGCTACACACTATGTGATTTCCTCACAATAGCCCCTGAAGTAGGTGTGGTGTGGGTTCTCCATTTCATAGGCAAGGAGAGGCAGGCTGGCAGCAAGTTATCCACATGACCACATCTGATCCTGAAGAGATTGAGAAGGGCTAATGATTCACTGAAAGGCACACAGTGGGCAAGCAGCAGTGCCAGGGTTGAAAACCAGAACTTTCTCACTTTCAAACAGGCCACCTTTGCTATATTATTGAGCTGTTTTTATGGTGAAGACCAGGTTGACCCTCAGAGCAGGAGCTGGTTATGACAATTAATGGGACATTTTTACAGGACCCAAATCTGGCATCCAGGCTAGGTGATCTCAAATAGTTTGAGCTCTTGAAGTGGACCACTGTAACCCAGGAAAAAGAGTGTGTGTGTATGTGTATGTGTTTTGATGGAAAAAAGTTCCAATACCAACCTTAATCTGTTTTTCTTCTGAAAGCTTTTATACACAGCTAATACATAAAACATGTAGCCTTTCAGCATCTCCTGCAATGTCACCTTTGTCAATTCATGGCCTCCAACCTGAATGATTTCCTGGCATAGGCTGAACAGGAAGGAATGTAGGCATGAGGATGGCTGAAAGAACAAAGAACTGTTGAGTTAGCAACTTGTCCCTATTAAATGACATTTGGTAAATCCGGATGAGTTTAAGTTTACAAGGCTTTTATGCCTGAGTGTTGACCTATCAACTCAGTCTCCTCTGGATAATAATACAGCATGAACCTCGTCAATTAACAGAAGCCGAGCCCTTGGTTAAGTGAAGCTTTCCCTCAATTTCACTCTGATCCCTGGCAGGTGGCACTACGTTTTACCTTGAGGTTTTCACTTTAGAGGAGTGACAATTTTCTGTGTAATTCCCCAACTAACATAGAGCCCTTGCCCCTCCTAAACAGCACCTGGTTATTGCTGTGGAATAAAATAATCATTAAGTAATTCCCTCCAGGGAACAGTTGACTATTTACTTAACCACACATTAGATAGGAACAACGTTTACTTTAAGCTATTTATCAGAGCCTACATGTTGAATGATTTTCTAAACTCTCATTCTTTTCTATATAGCAGCATTTTTCTCCATTTTCAAATGAAGGCTCTGCAATTGTGTCACTTGAGTCTCCCCAGAGTGAGTCAGATCTTTGAGCTGACACTGACACCAGACTCTGTCTCTTCCTGAATTTCTTGCTTATCTTTACTGGTGGCTGTGGTCAGGATACATATCATCTAAAAGATGAGACTGGTTGCATCCATGAATCAAGACCAGGCAATAAAAGGCAAGTGTTCTCACCAAGAAACCATTCGGATCCATTTTAGATTTTATTTAAACTGCGAGAGTTATCTTGAGACCAGCTGTAGAAAAGTGGTCCAGCTGCTTAAATTGTGTGTGGGATCCTACACTGGTGCACCTTTGACTGATTGGCAATTTCTATGCTTCTTTTGACTGCAGTATTGTTATAGGCAGTGGGATGTTTCCTGTAACTAACAACACTACAAATTCAGTTGCCAGTTCTTAAGACACCAGTGGAGACTACAGGGAAAATGATGTCTAGGTTGAAGAGCAGAAAATGTAGAGTTTTTTCCAGGGAGAAAGTCTTTCATTCATTCTCATCTGATGGAAGGGAAAAAAGAATCCAAGATTTTGGTCTATAAAATCTAACCAAAATGCATCAGAAAGATTTTATATCTGTGCTATTTGTCAGGGGTAAAGTGAAAGTAACTGTATGGAATAAGAACTGCAATATAATAAAGTAACTAAAATTATGATTAGCAGACAAACGTGGAAAGTATAAATTTTAAGGTCAGTCACTTTAATAACCCCCCTGGCTCCACGTTCAGTACCCCATTAAACCTAGGAGTAGGTCTTTTAACTTCCTGCCACTCGGCCTGAGTAGGATACATTTCCTTCATTTTCCATTGGTCCTGCTTTTTTTTCCTGTCCTCAGTTTTTTCCAAGTGCCCGAGTTGCCCCAAATGCATTTCTCTAAATGGGAGCACTGTTTTCCCAGTGACTGACAGCATCTGGCCATGAAAAGGACTATGTGCCCTTCGATACTGTTGTGGACATCCTGTCGCCCTTGCATAAGCTCTCCGATGCTCTGCGGCTCTGCCCAAGTACAGTCCACAAGTTGCTTGATGCATACAAAGGAGTGATTCCAGAGCATTCCCTGCACAGTCCCAGGATCTATAAATCTATTCAAAGGCAGAGTTTTTGGTATGCATGGTGAGGACCTCCTTGGGTCGAGAGGAGTCATCTGAGGAAAGGAAAGCCAGGAAGTTATTCAGTGTAACCCCCAATTTAAAATCTAAGGTTGAAGAGAAGCTCTGCTCACAAGGACTAACGGCTGAGTGCTCATGGAGAAGCCACAACTAACAAACAGACCCTGGCTTGCCACACTGACCCAGGCAGCATCATAAGGCAGATCATGAGGACTCTCAAACCAGAGGAAGAGAGACATGCTTGATCTGTTTATTTGGAGTGGAATTGCTGATGCTGGTGTCAACAACCTGCAAAGGTAAAACCAGATCTTTGGAGCTACTGGAGTAGTCTAAACCTCTTTTTGTCAGAGCCTGAAAGAAAGAAAACTTCTTAGCCATTTCTCGCAAGGAAATATCAAGTCAAGAATACCACAAGGCACTTGATCCTAGCAGCCAGAATGCCCCTGTACCACATTGAGAAGGATGTCATGGCTTGGGCAGAGAAAAAAGGAGCCATTCTTTAGTAGTGGACGTGAGTTTATCCCCTAACAACTGACTAAGGCCTATTCTCTCTTTCAGCTCCAGGGTCTGGATCTATGTTAATTTCTAAGACTCATTTATCCAGAGGACCACCCTCAGAGTACACAGATTTTCTACGGACAAATGATGTCTCAGGAATGACGCTGCACAGGGCTGTACAGCTCTCGGAGGCCCCATTCATATTGCAATCTATGTGAAGAGTGACCTCTGGAATTGTGTAGCAGAGACCCTTCCAAGGACCCTGGAACTTCTGTGCTAGTATTGCAACACTATGAGAACTTTGCCAATACTCAGCTTTGAAGAGAGAGGAGGAGGGGCATTGTTATAAGTAAGGCTAATTGTGGAAACTGAGACATCAGGAAATGGTGCCCTAGTTTAAAGGTAAAGCAAGCCTGAGATTAGACTATGCTACCACATCTCTCTCCCAAAATGATCACACAGCTGTGTCATCACGTTCTATTTGTTTTCCTTCTGCCCTTGGCTTTTTTTTCTCAGTCAATTTAGCTGAATCCTCCTTCTGATCTTTGTATTTTGGAATCCCCCAAGGCACAGTCCTAGGTCATCTTCTCTACTCACCAGTGATGTCATCCACTTCCATGGCTTCAAATGATATCCATATACTGAGGAATCCCAAATGTGTATCACCAGGCTTGACCTCTCACTTGTCTCTTCTGGACCTATACAATATCCCTCTCACTATACCTCTCCATTTGAAAATCTTGATCATCTCAAACTTGGCGTTTTCAAAAGTTATCTTATCATCTTCCCCTTCTAACTATAAAGTTTTCTGGTTAACTCTAACACCTCTTTTCCCACAGCATCCACAGCCAAGCTATCACTAAATCCTTTCCTTTGAACTAGATCTATGATATGTCCAGTTAACTCCATCTTTACTGCTACTACTAGTCCAGACACCATCTTCTCTCACCTAGGTCACTGTAAGAGCCTCATTGTGACCTCCCAGCATCCACTCTATCTCCACCGTGATCCACTGTGACATAAATTTAGAATTTGATTTTAAATTTTATTTAATTACTTATTTTTTAAATATACATATATATATTTTAATAGTCAGAGTGTTGGGATTTTTTTAATTGAGGTAACATTGACTTATGACTTTATATAAATTTCAAGTGTACATCATTATGTTTTGACTTCTGTGTAGACTACATCGTCTTCACCACCAGAAGTCTGGTTGCCATTCGTCACCATACACATGTGCCCCTTTACTCCTTTCACCCTTCCCCCATCCCCTTTCCCTCAGTTAACCACCACTCTGTTCTCTGTAGCCATGTATTTCTTTGTTTCTCTTGTACATATGAATGAAATCATACTGTATTTGTCTTCTCCACCTAATTTATTTCACTTAGCATAATACCCTCAAGGTCCTTCCATGTTGTCATAAATGGCAAGATTTCATCTTTCTTCATGGCTGAGTAGTATTCCAGTGTGTATATATACCACATCTTCTTTATCCATTTATCTATCGATGGACACTTAGGTTGTTTCCAAGTCTTGCCTACTGTGAATAATGCTGCAATGAACATAGGGGTGAATATATCATTTTGAATTAGTGTTTTCATGTTCTTTGGATAAATACCCAAAAGTGGAATAGCTAGATCATATAGTAGTTCTATTTTTATTGTTTTAAGGGATTTCCATACTGTTTTCCGTGGTGGCTGCACCAAATTACATTCCCACCAGCAGTGTACGAGGGTTCCTTTTTCTCCATATCCCTCCAACACTTGTTATTTCTTATCTTTTTAATAATAGCCATTCTGACAGGCATGAGATGATATCTCACTGTGGTTTTGATTTGCATATCTCTAATAATTGTTGATCATCTCTTCATGTACCTGTTGGCCATCTGCATATCTTCTCTGAAAAAAATATCTCTTCAGAACCTTTGCCCATTTTTTGATCAGGTTGTTAGTTTCTTTGTTGTTGAGTTGAATGAGTTCTTTATATATTTTAGATATTAACCCCTTATTGGAT